TATTATAATAATATACAAGTATACTTCTATATTAATAAGAGAATATTATTAAAATAATAATACTTATTATATTACTTATTAGACCTCTATACTCTTAATATTAAGTTCGAAAATAATAGAATTATATATATATATAATATTTATAATCTCGACGATTAATAAATAGATAAACTTAACGAACTATATAAGACGCTTATAAAGTCTAAGAATAACGAATAGATTATATTAGATAATTTTAATCTTTATTATATAATATAGAGGGGATTAAATACTTATATCGATAAGAGAGTAAAAGAACTAATACTTATAGCGGAAGAATTTATTATAAAATAAGTATTATTAGTAGAAATAGTAATATATGAAGAAAACTACTAAATAATAATAGATCTACTATTCGTTATTTTAGTATTAATAGTAAATATTATTAATTATAATATCGAAAACGATTTCGAAAGCGGATTTAACTATTTTTTAATTCTTATAAAGTTTAAGTTAGTCGTAATAGAGTTAGTATTAACGATATATCGAAACTTTAATAAATTAAACGTCGAGGTTTTAAGAGAGATATTCGCTAGAGCTATAATATCGAAAGAGTATTTAGTCTATTTCTTAAGAAATAATAGAAATCTTATTAATAACGATATCGATTATTAAATAGCGGTTATTATTAACTCTATCTAAGCGGCTATAAAGAAGTTTACTTCGATTATTAAATTATCGCTATAATCTAGATCGAGATTTATATTAAAATATAAGAAAGTATAAAGACGTTATAAATTGCTGAAAAGAAGTTGAAGAATAACGCTCTTAAAGGAAGTATAGAATAAGTATAAAGTCGCTAAGAACTTTAAAAATAATCTAATTAAGAGAATTATTAGAAAGGCGTTTAGAGAGTTTATAATAGAGATATACGAGTCGCTATAAATAATATAAAAAAGATTAAATAAGTTAGAAAATAACTTATAATATAGATATATCTCTCTTCGCTATTTAATAAAGATAAATAAGAATATAACAAATTAGATTCGAAGGTAGATCTTCTTATAAGAATATTTTTCTTATTATCGATATAAGTAAAGTTAGATAATATTAACATTAATATAACGTATTTATAAGTTTATTTAATAGATATAATTATTATAAATAAAATAAGAAAGATTATAATATAAATATCGTTAAAGAGAGTCTTAGAGAAAGACGCGATTTTTAATCTAATTCTTAAAAAGATTCTAGAGTCGTTACTCTCTTATCTATATAGAATATTTAATATATACTTAATAAATAACTACTATTTAGAGCACTTTAGAATATTAATAATAATTATTCTTCTAAAGTTAGATAAGAATTATTTAATTTCTAAAGAATATCAACTAATAGCTTTACTTAACACTATAAAAAAAAAAAAAAATTTATTCTTACTAGAAGAATAGTATATCTTACGAAGATATATAAACTTCTATCGACTATATATATGGGAGATCGTAGATTGCGATTATATAAATATAATATCTACTATCTTCTAGAAAGAATATATTAGACTTAAAACTCTAATAAAATAGTTATAATATTACTACTAGACGTTTTAGATATATATAATAAAGTCTTTTATTCTCGACTACTTTATAATTTTTAAAAATGAAAAATCGATATAAAAGTAATTAATTAGATAGAATTATTCTTATTTAATAGAATAATAATACTAAAAATAAGTAAATACTCTATATTAAAGACTCTTATAGTAATTAAAATTTCTTAAAAATTACCGCTATCGCCTATACTTTATCTTTTTTATAACTTAAATCTTATTAATAAATATAATAATCGCGCTAATTTAGAAATAATAGTTATCGGCTTTATAGACGATATAAGCCTTTTAATAGTAGAAGACTCTATCGAGGAAAATTATAACGCTTTTTATAAAATCTACGACGAAGTTTATATAAAGTAGGCGTTATAATATAAATTAAAGTTTAATTCTAGTAAATATTAACTATTATATCTTAATAGAAAATAGAGATTTAACTTAGATTATTCTCTATAACTTAACGAGAGATAATATATTAAGACGAGATACTTTATTCGCTATCTAGAGATCGAAATCGACTTTAAATTTCTATAGAGTTATTATAATAAAAAGATTTGATTTAAGACTATTAAAAGTATTAATATATTAATAAGAATTATCGAATTAACGTAGAGTAATAATTATAAGAGTATAAAATAGCTTTATTAGATAATAATTATCTTATAAATAACGTATTACTACTTAGTATAATATTAATTTAAAAATATTATCGATTATAATAAAACTTATCTCTTATCGCTATAAAGAATTTAATCTTAGATAAAAAGAAAGATAATTAAAGTATTTAAGATTATATTTATTTTAGTATTTAATATAGAAGTATATCTTCTATTAGTTAAATAATAGCTAGATAAAATTATCTTAAAAGCTATTTTATAAATTACTATTAGTTTAGTATATAGCGAGATTATTAAGCTATAATTCGAGTAATAAAAGTTTAAAAGAAAATCTAAGAAGAATAGAAAACTAAGTTTATTAGAGCGATATATTAATAGATTCGAAGAACGATATAATAATATTAATAAGATTAAGAAACTATACTCTTTTAGCGCCGCCCTCGATTAAGAGCCTCTTAAAATAATAATTTATAAGATTAAGAAAGTCGCTAAAGAACTAACTAAAAGATCGATTAATAAAAGTTATATAATAATATATATAAATAATAATAGAATTAATAAAAAGATAAGAGCTTTAGCTATATCGTTAAATATTAATTCTATTTTTAATATTTATTTAGATTTAAGCGACTAATATATAATATACTTAACGAAGTTATATAATATTCTTTAAGCTTTAATTATAATAGCTATATATTAAATAAAATTATAACTTAATAGAGTTATAGTAAATACGAATAATTAAGTATTAATTTAAACTATCGAAGACTCGAGTAAGTATTTAAGATAGATCTATATAATATAAGTAGTATAGATTATTAATTCGCTAAGATATCTTAGAATAGTAATAGAATTATACTAGATCTCGATATATATTAATATTAACAATAATAAATAGGCGGATAGAGAGGCGAAGAAGGCTATTAACTAGCGAGAGCGAGTAATTTATAATAAAAGAGTAAAGATAAATACTAACGAAATAGTCTAATTATTAATTATATAGATAAGAATAATATTAATAATTAAGATAGCTATTAGAGATTACGCGATGAAATAATAGACTATTAAATAAACTAATAAGAAGCGAGGTGGTATTCTTAGAAGAATCTAATTAACATCGTTAAAATAAATATAACTTCTATATTCGAGAGTTAAGCGCGCTAAGATATCGCTAATAATATAAATAAGAATTAAGAAAATAGATTTTAAGGCCTTTCTTTATAATCGATAGATATCGAATATAGAGGATAAAGAATACGAGTATAGAGCGAAGTAGATAACTTAATATATTCTTTATAAATATAAACTATTTAGTAAGAAGCGAGGAATGTAATAAATCGAAGAGAGAAGAAAGATGAAAGAGGGAGTTATTACTTATAAGGATATATTAATAAAGCTACGCTACGCCTTTATAACGACGAACTTTATAAAAAGTATAAGACTTATTAGATAATATTAAGCTCTTAATAAGAATTAATAATAAGGATTTACTAGAATAGACGATTAAAAAGAAGAATATAATTAAGACGAAAGGGCCTTAGCGATATAGAGTGTAGTACTTCTTTCTAAGAATTAAGTATAGTAAGACGTAGAACCATAATGATGACTTATATAGCCTTATTTATTTAAGATTATATAATTGGCTGAAAGGATCAGATAGATTACGTAACTCGCATAGTCAACTACTAGGGTAAGACTTCAGGGTAGTATGATGTAATCAATCAAAATCAATCAATACCTCGTTGTCGCCAGCACCAAGTGACACCGTCTGAGGCTATACAATCACGTCATTTGGTAGTCATATGGTCTCATCTATTCATGCGTCATTTGATCTACGTCACAGTATTCTTCTTTCCTGTTCATGTCGGTCTTTGATGAAGGTCTTTCGAACATATAAACCTTCCTCCTGCTCTCATAGTTTGACTGTATTCTTCATGTCTCATCACACATCTCTACAATCCCTACACTCTACCTTCAATCATCTTTTATTCTATCGAAATGACCCAAGCGACCGTCGATCTAGCTAATGCGTCAAGTTGGGAACGAAGCTCCCAACATCATCCTCCCTGGCTTAGGTTGAGCCGTTCAATGCTGCAGCCCGTCAGGCTTTCTACTTCATGTTTGATGCCCGCAGGAACGAGGCTCGTGAGCGTGTAACGGCCCCCGAAAAGCAGAGGTATATCAGATGGTTGACGGAGTCCGTCTCGGAATGACTTGATCTCGTTGACAGCAAGAAACAATTTCTGGATCAAGACCCATTTCGCTTACGACAAAAGCAAAATATGGAGGCTTCCTGGTAAGGTCTTCAAGCAACGACGAGAGGTCCTCACCGAGGATGTCATATGGGACACCATCATCAGAGTCCACAACAGCCTAGATCACGCCGGACAACACGCCACTGCGGGCAAGATCAACAATGAGTACTGCGAAATTGCCAGTGCGGAGGTCTATTTCCTTGTCAAGCTGTTTGAGATCTGTCATCGTAAGGCTCACAGCAAGTCCACAGGCCCCCTTAAACCCATCGTGATCACGCGTCTCTTTGAGCGTGTTAGATTGATCTTATTGATACAACGTCCGCCCCGGATGGCGATTATGTCTGAATCTGTCATATAGAGGATCATTTCACTAAGTACCATATGCTATTTCCTATGACCATAAGGAGGCCCCAACTGTCGCTCGTGAGATTCATCACTGCATTGCAGTCCTCGGCATCTTTGAGATCCTCCAATCAGATAACGGCTCCGAGTTCAAAGGCATACGTCTAGAACTCATGAGACGTTACGGTATCAAGGTGGTCAATGGCCGCCCTAGGACGCCTCGGATCCAGGGCCTCATCGACCAAGGCCAACGGTACCGTGGAGAATAAGATCGCCTGTTGGAAGAGGAAGCATGGGAGCACACACCGGGCTGATGCTTTGGAGGTAGGTAGTTAACCTCTTTTTGACTTGGTTTTTGGCCTTTGTCTTCTCTGAAAAGCTACATTGATGTGTCCCCAATTTGCACTTTGTTAGGCCCGAAAGGGGTCATTTGGGGATATATGATTGCAAAATGCCATTTGCGGCAGGAGAAATTCAAGGCTGACTTTTTGAACTTTAGGAATTTGCCTTGCAACTCAATAGCACCTACCATAGGGCCATTACGGCCATTCCATACGAAGTTGTCTTCAATCGGAAGCCCAAACACAAGCGTGCGCCAGTTGGAATGCGTGAGGTTAACGAGAACGAGATCGAGGACCAGGAAGTTGAAAATGAGATTGACGATGGGATTGTTCATGCGTCCGTGGATCAGGAGGCCATGGAATGATGTGTTCAGCAGCAGCTAAGTCGTTAACAACAACAACAACAACAACAACAACAGGTAGATGAGTTGATTGCAGAGGCGTTGCAGGATGAGGAAGTCAACTAAGGGAACTTGACATTCAAGATTATTAATGACAGCAATCGGATGCTTTCTGAGGAACAGGCGAGATTCGCTGATTGAGTTCAACGAGGACGAGAGGAAGCTGCGACAATTAGTCCCTCTACACCACACAACCGCAGGCCAGAAGAGGGTCTTCCAGTCGGTCCCGCGGATTCTTGGGTACCATAGTTACATTCAACAGCGTATATTCTCTATGAACTGGTCCGGAACCGTTCCCTATTTCGATATATTGACACCCTCCTTCATATAATTAATTGTATCGATGATCCCCAGAGGCCTAGCCTCTTGAACCATCAGCGACGGGATGCATTTTGAACGAAGGATTTGCAGGAGCTTGTTCAAGAAGCAGAAGCGCGGATCTTTACACAAAAGCTCCGAAGAAGAAAAAAGGCGTGAGCAAACCTCCTCTGCCACTCCAGTCCCCCCGCTAGAAAACACAGACATCCAAGCAACAACAACAGGCCAAACTTGCCGCCAGAGCCGCGAACAAACCCCCCTCGGCGGCCCCGTTCCTCCCACCATTATTCGTATAATAATTCTGTGGTGGGCCATTTTGCTGTTGTTGGTAGTTCATGCCTTGCTGTGGTGGAAAGGATTGCTGTGGATACCCTGGTGGTGGATAGCCGGGTGGTGGATGCCCGCCGTGTTGCTGGTAGTAAGGCTGCGGCTGCTGGTATTGTCCATTATATGGACCCGCGTGTTGGTGGATGGGAGGAGGGGAAGTGGGTGGTAGAGCGGCATTCCGTTCTCGCTCTCGCTCTGCCTTCAGTCTTGGACTATGTATGTGGCGCTGGAAAGAGGGGGGGAGACCCCAGCTGGCGGCATCCATGTTTGCGATGGTGATTGAAAGAGACCGTGATGCGGTTGCGGAAGGTGCGTGCAAGGGTTGTTTACAAAGCAACCAAGGTCAGCGCTCCGCGTAGGATATTCAGTTCATCTTTCGAGAGGATTTGGGAAGGAAGAGTTGAGGGCGCTCGATACTTGGGTATACATACAATTGAGAAGACGGGCTGAGGATGATGATGGGGGCCTTTTACCCTCGCTACCGTAGCCGCCCAAGCTGCAGTGGCGTGGGGGCGAAATGCGGCATGGTTTCCAGATATAGTCGCTTGAGAAGAGAAGAATTGACTCGGCTTATTGTAATGACGATGAGCATGATTGACAGGGAAGGAATGATAAATTGGAGATGAGATAGAGCCTCCAACGATAGTGTGATAATGCAATGGAGGATTTTGATCACTGTCAAAGTCCTAGCGTAAGTGATTAGGAACGAAGAGCTACTCGTACTCAGTATCGCCGTAAAACAGAGTCCTCTCCGTGATCGCCTTTGTAGGCACACCAAATTCGGTCGACCCCTATGCATCCCAATCGGCTAGCTCGCTGTCACGCCTCCTAATGTTCCTCGCCCCCAACATCGACGCCTTCGCCGTTGTATTGCCCTGTCATAGTGGCTCTCGCGTGCATACAGGGATGGAAAAGTCTCCAAAACTACCCTAGCTGCAAAATCACTTGGAAATGTGTATATAAACACAAGTGGTTGAACTAAGTGCGTGGCACGACTGGCAAGATGAGCAGGTAATCACACAGCAATCGTGCAGCTCAAATCTGCAGTAGATTAAGCTGACTTCGCCAGCCCGCTCGCATGCATGTCTGATGAGCCACCTACCCAGGCCAGCGGACCAGGGACGGGTGGCTGAGGCTGAGCACAGACATCAAAGCCTTCCTTGCGAGCTGCCAAACCCTCCCCATAAGGCCGGCTGGTCACGGACAGTCTTTCCGTAGACATGAAAAATCTTCGACTAGGTATTCAGTGCTCAAGAATCTCATCTTGGAGGCTAACATCCTCCAACATTGCGTTCTCGATCACGATCAACCGACGCAGGCTAGCTGTTATGGTAGTCAGTCAACGAGCTTTGAGCGACTTCACGAACTATATTATACCTCTACCGTCCGAAGGTCGCACTACTTTATACTGATGTTTGTGTGACTTTCTCAGCGCCAAGAATTGCAACCTTTTGTGCACACGCTAATTTTCTCGGTGCTAAGAATTGTAAAGTTTTCTGCATACGCTAAAACGCGCCATGCTCTATAAGATTGCTCGAGGAATCCAATCCACAGTACTATGCCGATGAAAACCACTTTCAATTAGTTCCTGCTTGGGAATATCATCCAAGAAACGAAACCTATAATGAAAGCACAGAAGGAGACCTGCAGACCGTTGTCCCTCTGAAAGCTGGAGTTGTCATGGGCTCCCTCCTCACCTTCTCTACTAGCAACCCGAATTTTGATAGCGCTGCACCACAGGACTTCCTTGAGAACGACAGATCTATCGACTTGATCCAGTTCCTCTCTATCGCTCAGCATACCAAGACCGACTTTTTGCCGATCACATGGGCACCCTTTGAGGAACTCGCTGGCAGAGGCGGATCCGCTCAAATCAGCCAGTCACAGATCAACATTCAGACAAGCTTTGCGTTCAAACGTTTCTCGGAACCTAGAACTGATGGGGCTGAACTGGTCTTCAAGGCTTTGGCTTCTGAAATTCGGGTCCTTCAGAATCCGCACACACGATCCAGCCCTCACGTAGTCAATTTGCAAGGCATTTGCTGGGAATTCGACGACCCAAGTGGCACCATATACCCAGTGCTAGTTTTTCCCAAGGCCGAATATGGAGATCTATATACATACTTGCGTCGCCAAGACGGTAAAGCCGTTTCTTTCGACACAAGACTCAAATGGTGCATTCAGATCGCCCGAGCTATTAACACTTTGCATACGGAAAGTATAAAACCCACATGAATATTAGAAAGGTTACAAAACCTGACACACTTAAAAGATGTTATTCATGGAGACATCAAGCCTCAAAATGTCCTACTGTACAAGTCCTCAGACGGGCCGCCAGTGGTAGCCGTCACAGACTTTGCATACTCTTGTCTTGGCCGAAGTGAGACTGACATTGTACGGTTACCTAGATCGCCACCTTGGCAAGCGCCTGAGTGGCACCATCGAGGCTTTCCCATCGCTCATGCCAAGAAAATGGACATATATTCGTTCGGCATGCTTTGTGCGTGGGTGTTGTTTGGGAGGACCATGTTGGAACTGAAGACTGAACGTGCACAAATAGAGGACTGCCAAGCTGGAAGTATTGAGGCTTTACTGAGTGACTTGAAACAGCGCCAGGTGCTATTTGAGACTCTGTGTGAGATCATGAAACAAGATCTCCCAGATGATCCAGAACGTAGCCAAAGACTAGTCCATTTCTTTGCCAAGACGATCTGTGATGATCAGGATCAAAGAGTGCCAGATATTGGAAGTCTCATTTCATATCTTGATCCACTCTGGTGAGTAGTGGTTGACACAATGTAGAAAAGGAAAGAACTCCTAACCATCTAATAGTGGTCTTTCATCCTTCTGTCAAAGCACAAACAAAAATCTCTTTGAGAATGAAGAAGAGGATACCACAGATTTCAGGGTCTGAACGATCTCTTGCAAGATTATAAGTTTTGTATATCCCTGACAGATTCACAGATTCCTTCGTCGCTCTTGCAGCTTGTTTGGGGAGACTTCCGCCTTCGCACAATGATCTACAACGGTCTCAAAGCCAGAGACCATCGCGGTTCTACAACAACCCAGAAACGTGCAGCTTTCCAGTTGGCGATTTGTTATCATATAGGATTTGGGACAGCCAGAGATACGTCGCAAGTAGAGTATTATCTCAAGCTGTGCTCAAAGTGTACGGAGGATCTCCGGGCTGCCGTCGCCCAGGTTGAAGATCAAAGGGTTTTCCAGCCTGGGAAGTTTCTGGAGCTGTGGACAAGCGGATTTATCAGTCCTGTCCAATATCCACAGCATTATCGAGATCACGGACAGCAAGTTCTAGCGAAGAAAGAATACGCAAGGACGATTGCTGAGTTTGAGATCGCGTTTGGGGGTCAACATTTCCTGGTCCAAAATCTGAAGGAAATACTTGCCGATATTTTAGAAGACGAGGGAAGGGATGACGAGGCGGTTGAGTTGCTCAACGGAGTTTTGGCATGCAGGCAGAGAATTTCCAAAGTGCATCCCGTCACATTGGCAGTGGAGACGCGTCTGGCGTCTGTCCTAGAAAGACAAGGGAAGTTCGCAGAGGCCGAAAGGCTAGCATCATCGGCTATGGCCAAGAGCAAGGAATTACTAGGTCCAAATCATCCACAAGTGATCCTGGGCCTGGCCGGTCTATCCTCAGTCTTCGAAAAACTACAACGCTGGCGGGAAGTCGAAGAACTCGACCGACAAGTTTTGGAATTCTATATAAGCATGTTTGGAGAGGAACATCCAAACACAATCAAGGCGTGAAGTAATTTGGCTTCAGCGATGAGAGCTTTGGCACTCAAGGATCCACAGAGACTGAGAGAAGTGGAGCAGTTGCAGGCTCAAGTTATGGCTATAAGTAAAAAGTGTATCGGACCAGAGCATCCAGATACGCTAAACAGCATGTCCAACCTGGCAGCCACGTATCAGGAACAGCAACGGTGGGTGGAAGCTGAGCAGCTTATGCGAGAGGTCTTGGTCATTTCGGAACGGCGCCTGGGACACAACCACCCCGACAACATATCGAACCTCGGACACTTGGCAGTGAATCTGAATCACCAGAAACGGTGGACGGATGCAGAAAACCTGCTCGTCCAAGCTCAAGAGCTTTCGTTAAAAGTTCATGGTGTAGATCATCAGCAACGTCTTACAATCATGGGAAATCTTGCAGAAGTATATCGGAAACAGGATAAATTAGCAGAAGCCGAGATATTGGCTCACGAAGTTCTGGAGCGACGATCACACCTCTTTGGTTTCAACCATCCGGATACAATAACAAGCATGATCAGCCTAGCGGTCACGTACTGGCTCGAAGGTCGGCTCGGTGATGCAACGGACTTGTACTGGGACGCCGTCAGTGTGAGTATCGAGGTCCATGGAGCAAAGCATCCGCAGACACTACGGATCTCCCACGACTTGGCAGTTTGTCTCCATGGACAGGGGTCGCACGAAGATGCTGTTGCTCTAATGAAAGAAGTCGTTGCGCAAAGAGATGCTACGGGCATAGACTCGACGACATCAAATCAGTTTCTTCACACTTGGCGGTGATGGATGTACCTTGGGACTCATCTCTGGAAGTGTGCATGAAGAATGGGGTTTTTGGGCTATGGCTACTTTACATGGGATACTTGGTGATGGACCCCCGATTTCTACAACGCAGAATCGGTTTATCAAGCCATTGTATGTAAGGCTATGCTACCTTCCTCATGTACGTCTATGTTGGTAGTCTGCCTGATACTCAACTGATGATCTCTACCCAGAACTAAACCTGCGGTATCATCTTCGAGCCTATCAAATTCTTGCTTCGCAAAACCATTCGTCACCCTTGCTGTGTTCGTTGGTCCGAAGCTTGAGTAATCATAAGGTTCCTTGGGGCCAGATCGCCCTCGCATGAATTTCGGGACCAAAGGCGCCATCACCGGGAGACAAGCACAGAACATTCCGACGCAAATTTCGACCGTTGACCAGATGATTGGGGGCAGGTAGTCCCAGGTCACATCGGAGATGTCAAGACTGGTAAGCTCTACGAGGCGGACGATACTAAACGCGGTTTCGCTGCAGAGCGTAAGCAAATGGTCCCATCTTTCGGAGATGCGAGAACGACGGCATACCAAGCACCTAGCACAAAAATGCCGCTGATCAAAACCTTCTTTGCTCTCGGCAGCTGCAACTGCCAAACTGGATATAAGGGCGTCACTAAGATCGCACAATCGAGAAGAACGTTGGCGACGTTCGTGCCTACTAAGTACGGCCTCAGCTTGAAACATTCATTTCTAGTGCTCGTTGGATCCCACGCCACGTGGACAGGCTTGCACTGAAAACCCGCAGGGAGTAAAGTTGCGATGCCCCATGCCACCGTCATGCCCAGGAGGACGTGGCAAACGCGAGCGATCCCCTTTCTAATGCCGAAGAGTCGATAGTAGAGGGTAAGGATGCTACACTTGATGCAGACGATAATGGGTGGATAGAAAATTTCTCCGGCGTAGATGGCCTAGGAAGAGAATGTCAGCCGAGCGTGCAAACAATGACGTCCAATTGGGGGGGCAGGACCTTAAGAAAGTGGACGATATTCCCTGGATGGTCCTGGACCACGGCTTGCACGTGTTTTCCAGCGCCGAGATGACATTCAATCAAGTCTGCTGTCAGAGCCGGAACGAGCATTACCTTGGGCCGCCATTAGATCCAATCGCTTCTTAAGAAGACGTGAGTGGTCGATGTGAGTGCATACCGCGGCGAGAAGGATAAGCCAGTCGTCCCACCACAACTTGCTGTCTCCAACAAACCGGCCCCAAAAGCGTGCTCCGACTGCAATGTACGACAATACCCATAGTGCTGTCACAGTAGCGACAATGGTCGGGGTGCGGTTCTCCTGCTGTTCTGCCATGTTTTAAGGAAGGAACGATAGAAAACATAAAAGTCACCTGGCAGCTACATAAATGGGCGATTCGGAAGGACTCCAAGCAGGGCTGCACATGTGACATAAGCCGAGGTCGAAGTAAGAATTGCCGTGCTCCTCCGTCCCATAACACTATCTACCCACGACCCAGTGTCTCGGTATTGGGGCGATGGCGATTCATATGCCTGTGCCAGAAAGAGATTGGCGACCACATGGTCAACAAGACCAATCCTCAAGGTACTCCGAACGGTTTTAACGTCCGGGCCAGCTAAACCGGATGGAGGAGATCGCTCCAGGTTGTGGCTCATTTCTCGTTTCTTCTCGCATCGCTCTACAAGCAACGGGGACGCGTTGGTTGAATACGTGCTCGCTCCAAGTTGAAGAGAAACTTGGGGGACCATAACATTTGCCAAGGTAGAGGTGGTGGTGGTATCCTTAGCTGTGTACTCAGATAGAGTGTTAGAGCTTTATATTGTACCGTGCTTTGGTTTGGCTGGTCGGAGATAGAACCTGAGCGCGTGCCGTGTGGTGTGGAGTCGTGACTAGCGCCAACGGTTGTCGCTCCCTTTCATTCGTAAATTAAATAACGATGCATCATGCATCATGCAGCCCGCCTTATTCAGCTCAATTCACTTTGCGAAGGGGCTGCTTGTGACATCATCATGCAGCCATTACCATGGCAATAGATACCTTAGTGGAGACTCCTGCAGCTTCCCTAGCTATACTTCATCTTTGGCTTGCTGACTTGCATATGCAATAAATTGCACCATTCGGGATCCTGAAGAATGTCCCGTTAGGCACTTCCAGCTTGCACATCCTCACAAATTGCTACCGCTGAATCCCTTATAGCGCGACTTCCAACGCACCTTACCTTCGCTTCACTCATCCATTCCTATTTCTGCGCACATCCAAAAAGTGGTACCTGAAAAGATCGTCGTCTCGTCCAGTCAACATGGACATCAGTACTCTCCTCATGGAATGCTCCTTAGTAGCCATGATGTTGTACGCCGCGTACGGCGTCATCTATCGTCTTTATCTTTCTCCTATTGCTCATTTCCCGGGTCGGAAACTGGCAGCTCTGACCTTCTGGTACGAGTTCTATTTCGACGTCATTAAACGGGGCTCCTACGTCTGGGAAATTCAGAAAATGCACGAGACCTACGGTATTCTTCCAAACGGAGGCATGTGAGCTTCTATGTAGCTGACATCCTGACTAGGTCCAATCGTCCGCATCAATCCATACGAGCTTCACGTTGCAGACGCGGATTTCATAGATCGGCTCTATCCTACCGTCGCTAAGAATGTAGAGAAATGGTCTTGGTCCGCGGGTATGTTTGGCAGCACTGCTATGACCTTTGGGACCGTAGGCCATACGCTCCACCGCCGACGACGTGCTGCTTTCAGCAACTTCTTTTCCACAACGTCTGTCCGGCGGCTTCAGCCGGTGATCCAGTCCCGCATCGATGTTTTGTGCGAGAGACTGTCAGAGAAGATGGATACTGGGGAGCCGGTGAACATGGTTCATGCATACTCGGCATTGACACAAGATGTTATCACAGAGTACTGTTTCTCAAACTGCAGGAATGTACTCGAGATGAAAGATTTTTCTCCGTGGTATTACGAGCTCGTGCAGAAGCCATCGGAGCTCTCCCATATGTGCGTTTCTCTCCTAATCAGATCTCCCTCCTATGCTTTTCTCGTGCTAATTGAATACTAGGATCAAGCAATTTCCTCACATGCTTACAATACTGAACCTTCTTCCCGACTGGTGGGTGCGTGCCACGAACCCTCTATTCTCAAAACTCCGCGCACAGCAACTGGAGTACGTTTCCCAGGTTCAATCAATCCTATCTTATCATGACGAGACCGGAACCAAATCCCATTCCACAGTGTTCCATTCGTTGCGAGATGACGATGGCCTCCCGCTCTCAGAGAAGTCACTTCCACGCCTTGTCATGGAAGCACAAAGTCTCGTTGGTGCAGGGACTCTGACATCTACGCATATGCTGAGCATGACCACTTATCATGTCCTCATGAACCCACCGATCCTTAGCAAACTAATGGCGCAACTTGAACAAGCGTTGCCGGATGCGTCTACGCCGTGCTCATTGCAGAAACTCGAGCAAATTCCCTACCTCAGTGCGGTCATTAACGAAGGTTTACGTATCTCATATGGGTCAATTCATCGACTACAGCGTGTTCACCCAGATAACGCCTTGACTTTCCGGAACTGGACCATTCCGCCCGGCACACCCGTCGGAATGAGCTCTCTCCATATGCACAACGACCCTGCGATATTTCCGGAGCCTAGGAGGTTTGACCCTTCACGTTGGATGGGGCCGGAGAAAGAAATGAGGCAGAGACACTTGTTCAATTTTGGGAGAGGTACCAGACAATGCGTAGGTATGAACTTGGCTCAAGCGGAGTTTCACATGACGCTTGCAACAATTTTCAGAAAGTTTGGGACAAAGATGCAGTTGTATGACACCGTCAGGGAAAGGGATGTCGACGTCAAACACGATTTTTTCGTTACGAATCCGAGTCTGGACAGTCGAGGTGTGAGGGTGACCCTCCATAGCAATAGCCACCAGATATGAGTGTCCACGGAATGCAGAAAAGCGAATAATACCCAAGTCGTGGTCCCTATTCTACCCCCAGAGACCGGCGGACAGGCGCCCCTGGAGGGTAATGCACCGTCGCACTCATCTGAAGCGTCAAGACTTCATTCATACTGGACAAATTTCCACAACACCGCTCCTTTACCAATCCAACAACGCTTCTGCGGCCTCTGCCTTGATTACTGCCCAGCCGGGTGTAGATTCTGCCATACTAGAGAACGATGCGATCCTCGCCGATTCAGGCGTTAATTCTCTTCTGAATATCGATATCCAAACCAAGCTTCGAAGCGATTTAGCCATTGGTGTCCCTAGTCGCTACTTCATAAAACCTCCACGATGGGCGCTCTGAAGCGACACGTCGAACAGACCCACGCTGCAAACCTGACTGACATTGACCTCTGAAAACACAATAGGGACGAGGACCGTGATTCTCAGAGGGAGATGATGGTGAATACCTCGTCAAAGCAATTGAATTCTCATGTCCATCCAAAGCAGCAGACCAGGCAGCTCAAGAATATTATTGCGGAGGAGCTCGGAATCAGCTAAAGCCGCACGCGAGGCTTGTAGATTTGGGCGCCGATTCCATGCTCACTCTTTCTATCATGGGATCGGTTCAGTCCATCACTGGGCAGGATATTCCAGGAACCGGCGACCCGGACTATACCCCAAACCCCAGCTCCTGCACGAAGAAAGACTGAAATTGAGACTCCAGCCTCGAGCAACGCGATTCGATCAAGAAAGCCGGCTCCGCCTTCGTCTCAGGTCGTCCAACCGCCTATATCGAATACACCACCCTTTCGTCGCAGCACTACACTGCTCCAATATCCTGTGAACGTTACCGTCAATTCCCCTTCTTTGATTCTTTTGCCCGACGGAGCCGGCTCTCCAGCCCTCCATTCATGTTTACGTCTTATGGCCCTTAGCTCTTCTTGAAGAATCCGTCCACCTTCACCCTGTCCCTCGTAGAGGGATCGACCGTCTTCTCCAATTCGATAATGCACGCCGCACCCACAGGCGCTCTAACCCTCAGTGGTATCGTCATTGGCGACGTCTACGCACACCAGATTTCAAAGCAGCTACTCGAGCAAGGAAGAGAAATCAAACGGCTTCTGCTGCTCGACTCGCCACGCCCCTAGATTTTGGCAGCAAACAAGCAGGACTTGCTGCTATATCATCCCAATCGTTAGTATTACGAAGGTACTATGAATTTAAGACTTGTAGCGCCTTAAAAGTGTTACCACTTTGCGGTAGCACAATCTTTTATAATTTCTGTCGTTGTGGTGGTATCCTGAGTTGAATTGATTTATAGATTGATTAAGTCATACCGGAAAATCAATGTTTGCGTTTTCGCGGAGACGTTTCTTCTCTTGAGCCAAACCTTTTTGTGGTTCGCAAAATGTCACGACTCTAGAAACTGGCCTGAACCCACCTGTCAACCAGTACCATGGCGACGGTAGCCTCAACTGAGTCTGCTACAGCCGCTCAAATACAGGATTTACCCACTGTCGTAATTGTCCAAGGCTCCTTTCAGATCCCTAAAGTTTATGAAAAATTAGTGCGAGGGCTTGTGGCTCAAGGATATCCTACGATTCATCCCCAGCTCCCAAGTTGCAGCAATACAGACAGCACACTTTTTCCACAGCTCTCACTCGTCGACGACGCATTAGCCATCCGCACCGAGCTCATTCGCCAGATTGAATACGACGGGAAAACCGTGGTGCTGGTTATGCACTCCTACGGCGGTCTAGTAGGCAGCGAAGCCGCAACAGAAGAGCTCAGCTACGCCAAACGGAAGGCTCAAGGTCTACCAGGAGGCGTCCTCCATCTCTTCCTTTATTCTGCGTTCCTTCTCAATGAGGGCCAGTCCGTATTAAGCACGTTTGGCGAATCGCCCAACAATGACGTCCTAGTGCTGTCTCGCGTAACGTCCCACGAAACTACACGCACAAATGAGTTCTAAATGATGATTGGCTGGGTCCTAAGGCCCAGCCGCATGCAGAAAGCGATCCACTATAAAGTTTACCTTTAGGAACTCCCTCTACATAAGATAGAAGACCTAAAGTCTAAGTACAAGAAAACGCTAAAAAACAAGGCGCGGATAGATGAGAAAAGTCCAAAAACCTCTTCTTATGACGAGAGAAACAAGAATAAAGAGTAAGAAACGGGGGGGATACCGCCTATTCAAGGCTCTTCCAATATAGTAATCTCGGCTATCCTGCTATAAGTATACTATACCTCTCCCTCACTAGCCCCTAGTCAAGCTATAGCGACTAGTACTATCTCGCGTAACGTCCTATGAAAACTACACGCACAAATAAGTTCTAAATGATAATTGGCTGGGTTCTAAGGCCTAGCCGTACGCAGATAGCGGTCCACTATACAGCTTAGCCCTAGAAAAACTCCTAAAATAGACTCACACCTGACGGGAACCTATTAGCTCTAAGCTATATAAGGACGCTAAAAACGACGTAATACGGCGAGAATATAGGCCGGGTGCGTTTCGATATATAGGCGGTACGAATCAGACTTCCAACGACCAAGTAGTTAAATCTCATTATCGATTAGACCGGCGTCCCTCGCGGAGATAGCGACCCCCCTACGAAAAGAGTATCCTAAGTAGTAACCCGAATAATCGAGTGTGTGTAGGGTGCTATATAGCGTAGCGGTGATGTACTATCTTATAAAGGCCTTGCCCGGATTAAATAGCGGCGATAACCCACTAATAAAAAAGCGAGTAAATAAGTTTCGTAGCGAACGAATAGGGTAGGCGTTATTATTTACAGCGGTAATAAATAGAGTAATCCCTCTTCTAAATAGATCCGTCTTTAAGGCCGGTAGAAATAGCTTTATATAATGGCTATAAAGCGTAACTAAACGTCTTATAATATACATTGTCGAAATCGCTATTCTCGATTTAGTCTAGAACTATATAAATTCGCCCATACGAAGAAATGCAGCAAATACGAGGCAAAAGAAAGTATATAAGGTGACTCCCTCTAGAGAAGTTTTATCGAATTAGGTAAGGATATAGAGTAGTAGGTCTTGTGTGATTGGACGGTATTCTTTAGTATCGGCCTCGTCACGTAGTCTGCGAATATCGGTAATCACCCGCTATAATAGTGAGTAGTGGAAGACCTCGAGGTCCTCGAATCCTATATCCACATAGACTGACTGGACGCCTATAAGATAGGCCTTAATGGATTTAACCTGAATATAACAATCGGCTAGACGTGCTATTTAGCCGATAAGTAATTAAATAATAGTGAAAACGCGGTAGTTCTCGATAGGGCATAAAATTCGATATAGAAAGCCTTCGCTATTTAGTAGCTACTTCTCGTTTTATTAACTAAACCCCATTAGAGATATCTCGCGGTATTACGGTTTAGAGGAGTTTTCTTATATTATAATTTAGGTAAATCGCGGCTTAATGAATCCTGCGTAGGCTGAGAGCGCTCAGTATGAATACAGTTAGCAATTTTATTAAATTTGAAGCGGAGAGTAAGTCGGCTAAAGTATTTCACTTGATAGGGATTTAAATTACATTATAAACGATATCGTATTAAGCGAATAGTATAACTATTTGTCTAAGCGGTGCCATAGCTAATCTATATATAAAACTACTACGAATACTCTCGACGACAGCGTCGTTATTATAGTAGAGCGTAAGATATAACTAATATAAGTGAGGTAGCCATCTGCGAATGGCCTAAAATAATAAGCATCTCTTTAAATTAGATATCCTTCTTATAGTAGCGGGTAGCGAAGTATATATTAAACGTATCGTCTAGTTTAGAACGAGTAGCGATATCCTCGAGAATATACCCTCTTATTTCGAGCTTATTAGAAGTATTTATCTTATATAGTCCGTACTTGCCGACTTCATTCTCCTAGATATTTGTTTCCTTTACGGGTATATAATAATATTTATTTTTTAAATAATGCGGTGCTTCTTAAAGCCCTCTAAACTTTACTTTCGAAAATTATCTTCGCTACTTAGCTCGTTTATCTTCGCCTTTTAAGGGCTTTTATACTTTCTCCCTTTCACTTATCAAGGGACCTAATCTTTATCTCTCGCTATTAACTATTTAAATTCATAAGTACTTTTCGTTCTTAATATATTTATTTTGATTATTATGACATATTAAGTCCTCGCTAAATTGAATTACGTCCTTCGAAGAATAGCAGTCGTCTGATAGTAATATAATGCTTTAAGAATAATAACGGTACTTAATAGCCTTGCAATAGATTAAAATAAAAGACGCGGTGCGTATTAATAGTAAACTATCATATAATGAAGCTATTCCAAAAAACCAGTAGCCAAATCTACTCGGCTATAGAATTATCTAATACGTCACAGATCTCGTTTATTTATTTCCAGTGTATGTATTATATGGTGTACTCGTGCTTTTGCCTTATAAATATGTGATTAACAGTATAGCCGTAAAAAAGATTTATCTCTTTTGTTATGCTTCGATACATACGAATAATATTTATTCGTTACCTTATTATATATTATCTCCTCTTTTAAAGGTCTTTAAATAGTATTTCATACTTAATAATACTGATAAGGTTTATTTACGTAACTAACTGGGCCTTATCGCGTGATTGTGTAGATATTGCAATACCTATCGTATCTTAGCTATTTCTTCCCTTTTCTTTAGTAACTACGTCTCTTTAATAAGAGCTCACTCGCGGATAAGCTTCAAATAACTCAGCTATCCTTAGGCCCCTCTTTATCCGAGGTAAAAACCTTTACCCGGTTATTACTTGTTAATATAGCTATATATGTATTAACTATATATGTTCTATTTGCGTCGCGTTTGTTCTTGCATTACCTTCGTGAACATTAGGGTTTTAGATATTCTAGTAAGAAGATTGGAGTAGCACCCGATATGCCTAGGCAAGCCTAACTTGACGTGAATTGTACATGGGTAGCCTCATTAGATCTGGGTCGCTATCTCAAATTGATTTTTAAGTAATTATCGTATTCGCCACGCTGACATCGTCTTACAAAGCTAATCCTCTAACGATCTCGTAAAATGCGTATCGATTATTATTTTGATCAATATGCATAATCCGATGCTTCTTAAGGGGCTTTTATAGACAAAAATATATGATTTCCTAGACCTCATTCAGAAGCTCTTTAGTCTTATTCCTTATCGCCGCCGCGACGTTAATAAGCTATTAATAGTTTATTAAGATATTTAATATCGACGTCTTATAGTAAATTTATTTAATATATTTCTCCCCGCTTTAAACGAGAAGAGGGCTTTATAAGATTATTATCTTAATATAAGAGAAGCGACATTACTACTTCGTCTCGACATATTGACTTCTCTGCTCGTAGGGCCAAAGTTAACTATGGGGCCTATATGGTACGACTGTCAATAAACACTTATACTTATATAACTATTGGCTTTATAATAGAGGCGTTACTGCGACGTCAATCTTATTAACCTCGTTTATATATGGTTCTCTCGTGTTTTTTTCGTTTTTTTTGATAGACGAATTATAACTAAAAAAAAAAAAAAAAAAAAAACCGAAAATTTTAAAAAAAAAAAAAAAAAAAAAAAAAAAAAAAAAAAAAAAAAGGGACAAAAAAAAAAAAAAAAAAAAAAAAAAAAAAAAAAAAAAAAAAAAAAAAAAAAAAAAATTCTTAGACGGGAGGAAAGAATAAAGAGCAAGAAACGGGACACCGCCTATTCAGCTCTCCAACATGGATCTCGGCTATCCACATAAATATGCTTGCCTCCCTCACTACCTGGCGAAAAGTAAGAACGTCGAGTACTTTCATTTTCTTTCCAAAATCCCAAAAACTCATAGACATCTAGCCCGACGGCCGCTTCTACATCCTACATGGCGACCGAACGCTCTACAGCGACCTCCCACCATCCGAGGCATCGCTATGGGCCTCGCGGCTGATTCCACAATCGTATCGGGTGCAGACCACCAAGCTCACTCGCGCCGCCTGGCGCTACATTCCCTCCACCTATCTCATCTGCGAGAACGATCAGGCCGCTCCCCCTCAGTACCAGGAGATGTTCGCCGCGAGCGCGAAAGCGCAGGTGGAAAGGTGCAGCTCGGGACACTCGCCGCACCTGAGCCAGCCTGAGATGCTCGTTGGGAAGATCCACGAGGCGTCGCAGAAGGCGGTCGCGGTGGCAGTCGTGAAGGATGGAGGTAAGGGAGATCTAGTGCTCCCGGTTCAGCTATAGGGGTTAGAACTATGAGACGGGAGAGGCGGAAGAGGCGTTGGTATAGGATTACAGATTGCTGCTCCTAACCCAAATCGGAGATATGCCTCACTCAACTCTCCATTCTTAGCAAATCAATACCTCAGCTCTAGAGGACGTCCAGCGTAGCTAGACGTCAACTGATAGATAGAGGAGCGCTCGAAAAGTCGTCTCGTGCACCGACTCACTCACTTAAGATCGAAGAGTCCTTCGACCCATTCCTCGAACAGCCAAGGATCATGGACGGATTGTTCGCAAGATCAAATGTAGGTGAGGGGAATGTAGCAAAAGTCATGCATAGAGGGCGAAACCCTCAATAAACCCATAAGATTCCTACGCAGCGCCAGAAAAAATTGCCATGGTTTAATAACTTTTCCAGAAAACATTATTCATAGAGAGTAAACGCACTTGATGCAATTTTACAAGTCCTACAATTCAGGCGCGATGTCAGGAAAAAGTGATAGTCTTCATAAAGACTTTACTAAAAACCATTATTCCATCTATGAACAAACCATTTCCCTGCACGTCAAATCCTCTCTACTTAACATTCCTCAACAGAAAATACTACTACTCGATACGCACTGCTCCATCTGCACCTCACCAGTCCCCAAACCAAATCCAGAAACACGGTGCGACCCTCATAGACCCCTGGGTCGTAGAATGCAGAATAACAGACATACGAACCACGCGACTACGGCCTCGAAGATATCGAGGGTCATCACTCGTCAGCCGGTGATGGAGGGAGGATAAGGTAGGGGTGGAGGAAGAGGGGGAGGGGAGGGACAGTCGACATATTCCGTGACCGAGTAATTTCTCATTTCTGTGCAAGTTTGTCTCCACTGATATGATGAAATATCATTCATGCCGTATTCACAACAGATATCAGCGGTGCACTTGTAAGGAAGTGTCCCGATCGAATTTGTCACCTGCAAGAACGAACGGACGAAGTACCTCGATGGAGCACAACGATAGAGACGGAGGGTTGATCTGGGCACGGACAACAGTCGACAAGAACCGCTGAGTTTGGATTACTTGGAGAGGATGGGATTTCGGACCTCAACCGTTGAGACTGCTATCTCGGTGAACGATCTCATGGGCGCCTGCTTCATTTGTAGATTTTTGTGTTTTATAGATGTTATCTGATGAGGACCGCAGTAAAGTATCGGTATGAAATGCGTTAGATAACGTTGATTGCTTATAAAGTATATCTCTGCTCATTATGACGGGAAGAACTTTTCACCCTGGAGATCTACCTCAACAAGGAGTATATATATATAATATCCAATATGCCCAGGGCAAGTTGTACGTACGGCCTCGACGCTCAATCAATGCGAAACGCAGAATGCTCTGTTGATGCAAGTAAGTCGGTCATTAAATTTTCAATCTCCTCGTCGATATCCTTGTTATACACGCTGCCGACGCTCTCGTCATCGCCGCCTTAGAAGCAATAAAGCTCCGCTTTGAGACTCAGGATCTCGGTCCTTCCTGGTCGAGACTGTCAATCATCACATTTTCGTCATCCAATCCGTGAAAGGCCCCCTCCGTACTCTTCCACGCTTGTCTGCAATCCTGCGACTTAGCTCCTTGGGCGGCGAGTATGCGCATGAGGTCATCAATCTAGCTCCGTAGAAACCAGACATTGAAGTCTTCCCGAAGCTGGACGCCACCGCCTTCTTGTCCACAGGGATGCTGAGTTTGTCCATGAACGTGGTCAGGGATTAGTTCACGTGCTTGGCGTGTTCAAGATCTTTGCCGGTCTCGTGACCTCTGAAGAGCGTGTGAGGGTCCTCTCCCATGAGCACAATGACGACAGCCGGGGCTCCCCCGCTCTCCTACCCTCTCAGGTCGACCACCATGCATTCTGGCCCATTTCTCGCGCTTCTCGGTCTTTCCACGACTGCCTTTCCTGCTGTCATGGCTAATATAACAGTCACGGCCAACAATCCTGCTTCTTAGGCGGAACCAGACAGATACAAGAGAGACGCAGCACTCAAGACGAAAAGAGGTACATGGACAAGACTATGCCGGTCCGTGTCCATGCCGCAAGATGGATCGGCCTACTTAGTGCACCTCGCCCGAGGCCTTTGCTACAACCGTATGTTGAACTGCTGCTTGCCCGGCTGGTCCATCAACGGGTATCTAGCCTTCAGCGCCTCAAGCTCGTTCCACCGCTCCTGCTTCTCGTATATTAGCGAGAGTTGTTCCGCAATCACTAGTATTCGTGGACTATCTGCCGACAAAACCTTCTCCTTTGCAATGATGTTCAAGACCTTCAGGCAATCCGTCTCCGCCTTCTCCAATCGTTCCGTTGCAATCAGCACGCGTATATACCCTAGTTTGGCAACAATCCAGTCTGGATGGTCCTTTGGGACAACTTGTAGCACCTCCTTGAGCACTGTCTCCGCTTCTCCCCATCGGCCCGCACGCACGTACGCCTGCGTTAGGTTCGCCTTCGTCATTGACATGCCGGGATGCGCCTCACCCAAAGTGCGGCGAAGGATGGGCGCAACCTTATCGAGGATCGCGATGGCCTCGTCGGGACGCTGCCGTGTGGTGAGCACTCTGGCCAGATCGTTCATCGACCAGAGGGTATACGCATGCTCCTCGCCTAGTATCCTCTTTCGAGCCGCCAGCACGTTCGACACGAGCCGCTCGGCGGCTGGAAGGCGCTCTCTGGCGACGCAGAAGCTCATGCCGAGCTCGTTACGCACCATGAGGGTGTCCGGGTGGTTGGGGCCGAAGAGCCGCTTGCGTTTATGAAGGACTTCGACCAGTAAGGCGCGGCTGGCGTGCTTGTCGCAGAGGTGGTGGTATGTGCGGGCCAGGTTGAACATGGCCGTCAGGGTCAGAGGGTCGTCAGGGCCTAAACGCTTCACCAGGCCTTTGACTGCACGTTCCCCAGCTCGTTTGGACCAATCTAATTTCCCAGCGAACCAGAGGGAGAGTGTTAAGTCCGAGAGAGTAATGCAATAGGGGACGTGTTCCGGTTTCCAAGGTGGCCATGTCATCCAGTCTGCAAAGGAAGGGCGCGCATACCAGTTGGTTTCAAGGATGTGGCGCTGGGCCGAAATGCATGGTATGAGATCGAAGAGATTCAAGTTGGACTGCGCGAGACTGCGCTGTGCCTCAATTGTGTGCATGTGGAATCTGCCGAGCTTCTCGGCCCTGAACTTGAGGACGTCGACTTGATATGAGCTTGCCCGCTTCCAAAGACCATTTTCAGCAAACACCCAGGCAAACCGCTCGATCTCTGTTGCCCTTTCCACGGTATCCGGTCCGACCGTGTTATATAGTGACTTTAGCGCTCGCAAGCAAGCCTCGATGTGCGGCAACAATGACCTCCGAAATCCCTGGCCTGATGCCTCCATGTGTGGAGATATGCATTGCGCCAGTACAGCGACGGCAGCATTGAGCCAGCGTTTTTGGTCTGTCTCGGAGAGTCTGTCCTTTGCCCATCGCTGAATTACCGGATGCAGCGACAGAAGGCCCCTCTTTGGGTCATGATCGATGATGGAATAGTTGTAAAGAATACTCAGCGCCGTTCGTAGCCGAAATTGAGACCCTTCATCCCACTCTGATGTGGTTTCGGCTAGACCGTGAGTGACATGGAGTTGTTTCCCTGTCTCAATGCCTTCCCAGGATCTCTGAAACATAGCCTCCGGTATAGATTCGAAGTGCATGAAGGCGGATAAATGGATCAAGTCCACAGCGTCCCTATACTCTAGAGATCTGCGACTCGCAATTCTCTGAAACGGGATCTCCCAAGTCGTGATTATATTGGCTTCATCGGCGGTGCTAATGCTCTTGGATACGATCATCTCTTTCCTGTGCCCTAGGTAGTGCCTCAGATACATCTCTAGTGTGTAAATGTTGCGACGAATACTCGTGCCTGCGTTGGCTATTGCAAGTGCCAAGTAGCCGAGCTCAGATGTAATCTTTTGTGCAGTCCGTCGACTGTCTGACTTTGGAGAAGGCGATTCATCCTTGGGAAACGCGGTTTTGAGCAAGAGGTTAACGGCATCTTCTGGCTCCAAGCCGCTAAAGCGAAGATGGCCGGCTGTGGCGTAAATTTCAGCTCCTGGATTGCGAGTCGTGATCAGGATGTGGCCGCTGCCGCCAACAGGAAAGTACTTGGAAACATCCATTTCAGGATCGTCAGCATTATCGATCACGAGTAACCATGGCTTCGTACATTGGGAGAGCCAATACATCCCGCCCGTGAAGGTCGCTCCTTTTCCCATTTGTTGGCCGAGCGAGGCAAAGCTATTCTCGGCATTCTCCTCGCTACTCGCATCAATCCAGAACACACCCCAGTATCTTGATTTGTTGTCTTCTGCATATCTCAAGCAGAACTGGGTCTTGCCGGCACCGCCGAGTCCATATATAATAAAGATTCTGTGTCGATTGGCTTCGTCCAGGTGGTTGACTGGACCTAGCTTCTCCCGTACGAATTCTGCGTGAAGAATCCTACCGGTAAAGTAGGTACTGGAGCAGCGTGGGATGATGAACCATTCGTTACGATTAGGCTTGTTACCATCGCCGGACATAAGGTATCGGAGCGGTGGCTTCAACAAATCTTCTGCTTCAAGTTGCCGTTCATGTCCCAGCGCTTCCATATCCTTGTCCCATCTGTAATGGATTAAAGCAGGCGCAGTCGTGATATATCGTGCTAGTGCTTCGAGAACAACTCGGTAACCGTCATCGTGGACGTCTGAAAATTTGTTCATGACGTCGTGAGTTGCGAATATACCGCATCGTTCAGAGTTGTCCCACGTAGGCGCTGCGGAGTCCTCTTCCACAACAGCAAAGCTCACGTCGCCCGCTTTGGTCTTCCTTTGCTCCCACAGATTAAAGATAGCAAATCGTTTCATGAGCGGTGCAAACTGATCGGTGATCTCTTGTAGCATCTCTGATCCTCTCATAAGGTTTAACAAGAATTGGCTCGGGCCTAGCGTGTCGTGATGCCACAAAAGCAATTTCTCCTTCCGTACGCCATTGTGTGGGGTCCCAAGGAAAATAATTGAGTGTGTGGACATGAACACCGAGCGAAGGTGCTCCACCGCTTGCGCACGTCTTGTTGAGGAAAATGCGAGTGCTCGCTTCACAAGTAAACCTCCGAAGCCATGGCACACGAAGATGATAGGCCGCTTGAATGCATCTACCAGCTGGCGATCCGCGCAGAGCTCAGCCACAAGGCTGTTCGCGAACGGCAGTATTCGATCGGCGGATGCCTCGCCAGGAGACGAGAAGACATCGGGATTGTAGTGGTAAACAAGAACTCGGGCGTTGTATCGCTCATGTGGGAACAGGTCTCAGAGCCACAGGACGCCTGAATTTATGTCCGTCCATGCCTCGAGTCCGCTCTCGAGAATACCATGGACAGCAACGATGCTACAATTTTCAATTAGTCGGAGAAAAGGACACAAGACGAAGCATGGCAACAACTGACTCTGCAACGGGAACTCTTGTTGCATGGCACGACGAAGGCTCGAAAGTGGTGGGCGCAGTGAGCTCTGAGATGGCCATTCCTTACTCTGCTAAGACCCTACACGAGAGAACCATGGTGCCCAGAGCGGCAGCTGATACGCTGAAGCGTGGCTGGCAGGACGGCAGTATAGTGTCTTTGAGCAAGTGGACAGGTCCGATGGATCAAACGCGGTCCTGGGTTTACCATCGTTGCAGCCTTCGTCATATTTGAAACTCGGAGGTTTCAGCCCACGCGAGTGGGGGTGGGGGACGAAAGTGCCGGCCTCCAATCGCTTATCTCATGAACCTCAACGATTGATTGTTCATACATCTCCAGCATTTTCCAATCCATTCGCGTAAGATTCATCACTCGTACTCTATATATGCTAAACAGCTATTGCAAGAAGCTTGGTAGAGTACTGCGAATTCTTTTCCTCCACTTTCTCGAGGCTTCGAGGAATCGAGGCATGTCTGCATGACTGCATGAACAATCTCGATGTTGGCTAAAATATTAAGGTAGACTAGCCTCTCAGCTTGGCGCGTAGCATCGCTCCGGAGGAATCCCAGCCCCCCCCCCGGCGTTAAGGTACCTAGATAAGGTAAAGTACGACTAGCAAATCACGTTCCATACCATACCCGCCCGGGGAAGTCAACACTGCCTAGCCAAAATGCGCCTAGTCTGTTCCAGAATAGCAACGAGACCGTGCCACGCTATTCGGCCCCCGTTCGGTTCCTTACTTTAGCTTACTGGTTCCTGGCTCAAGCGACTTAAAAGCAAGCGGATCGCGTCTGCCATTCCACGTTTATAAAGGTAGATACTTTATATATCTCGCCCCTCACTGTGCGCTTGGTTTACACTTTATAACCTTTCCTTCAAGTATGGCTCAGTCTTATTACTCTCTCCTCGCCTATGTAATCCTCATCACCCTCTGTTGTTGGAGACTTATCCACAATTACCAGACTCGTCAGGTACGTCTCGTCCAGTTCTCGAATGGAATCCAGGCTCATGCGAAAAGCAGGCTCATAAGCTATTTGCCGAGCAGCATGGATGTCTACCAGCGCCTCGAATTCAGAACCAGAGGCCCTGGGGCGTAGATCGACTCGAGCAGATTTTCCGCGGCGATAGCGAGTCGCGCTTGATGGAGCTCTTTATGTTCCATTTCAGGCAGACGGGAAATACCGTTGAACAAGTCTTTATTGGTACAACAGCGTTCGACACAATTGAACCCGCCAATCTCGAAGCCTTGCTATCGACCAACTTCAAAGGTACCTCTTCCACAGACTCTCAATGACACTACTGCTCCTTGAGTCACCTAATTCCAAACAGACTTTTCCATGGGTAGACGTCGAGAAATCACATTTCCAATGTTTGGTGACGGCATTTTCAATCAAGAAGGTGCGGCATGGAAGCATTCTCGAGACTTGCTACGACCACCACTTCAGCATAAACACTACGAAAATTTAACTGCTTTTAAACAAGGTGTGGATGACTTGATCGATATCTTATCCAGACAGTCTGCTGTGATTGATCTGCAGCCTCTTTTCTTCCGCTTAACACTTGATACCGCTACAGAATTTCTCTTTGGCGAGTCAGTGAACAGCCTCAGAGCACCCAAGTCGGCTAACGAGCAAACTTTTGGCGAAGCTTTTAATACAGCTCAAGCGACTGTGACTCAGCGCTTCCGACTTCCGGATTTCTATTGGATGATAGGAGGGTCCAAGTTCCGAAACGCTTGCAACAATGTGCACTGCTTTGCGGATGAGATCATCGATCGCAACTTATCGCGCAGCTCTGGGGAAGGCCGCGTCTTTCTGGACGCGGTAGCTGAGAGCACAGCAGATCGTGATGCCTTGAGAGGTCAAATCATCAGCCTTCTGGTGGCGGGTCGAGACAGTACAGCCTGCTTAATGACATGGACTTTCTTCCTACTCGTTCGTCATCCAAAGGTTCTGGAGAAGCTGCGAACAGAGATCAACTGTAATTGCTCTGATCCAGCGAGTCTTACGAGGGCAGACCTTCGAAAGATGAACTACCTTCAGCACGTCCTCAACGAGACTTTGCGACTCTACCCATCTGTTCCTGTAAACACTCGTACAGCCACAAGGACGACCGTACTGCCAACAGGTGGTGGACCAGACCGAACAGCTCCAGTGCTCATTCCGAAGGGTTCAACGGTTGCGTACTCCGTTTACGCCATGCACAGAAGACCGGACCTGTATGGCATGGACGCTGAGCTCTTCCGTCCGGAGAGATGGGACGAAGACATGCCAATGCGTCGTGATAAGACCAACGCAACGTGGGGCTACCTTCCCTTCAATGGAGGCCCCAGGATCTGCCTTGGCCGTAAGTTGCAGGTCAACCGAAAGAATCCTGGCGAATATACTGACCTCTTCTTCAGTGGATTTCGCGCTTACCGAAGCCGCGTATACAGTGGTCCGGCTCCTTCACCATTTCCCCGTCATACGATTACCAGCGGGCCAAAAGGTCGAGATCATGGGTGTGGAGAAGCAGACCATGACTCTTGTGCTTTCATCTACGGAAGGCTGCCTGGTGGACTTTGCCTCTAGAGAAGAGCAGGAACAAGATGCATGACATTATTCTCACAACATGTGACTTCTTCTATCTAGACTAGGTTTTGACAAATGCCACGGGAACTATCGCAGCAGCTCATCCGCTTCCTGCGAGCGTTTCGAATTGAGCATGTCAACAGCATGCTTCCAACGCCGTGAGACCACCTCAGGCGCTTCCTTTGAGTACCGCAGCAAGGCAGCCACAACGAGTCTATATCCAGGGGAAGTGCGGCTCTCGAACTTGCACATGTTCCTATGATCACCTGGAAGACCGGCTCGCTCCGTATTATCCAGAATCGGAGCTGCGGAGGATTCTTCGACGACCTGCCAGACATCAGCATTAACCGTCTCATTCCGAAGAGGAGGAGCATTGACGGACGTAGTCCTGTGTAACTCCCATGTCCGTCTTCTCCTGTTCCCAGAATAAGAAGATGTGGAAATCCTTCATGAGTGGTACAAACATGTCGGTGATGTTCTGCAGCACTTCTGAACCTTCCTGCACGGCATCGAGAAGCTGCCCTTCGGTGTCTAGAATCTTAGAGGGCACCAAGGCTCCGATCATGCGACGACTGGTCGAAGCGAGCTTGGCTTTATTGCCGCCGTCGTGAGGCGTCCCCAAGAACAAAATTCCAAACGTCGAGACGTAAATCGAATGCACATGCTGAATGGACTTGCTGGTGCGGCTTGCGGAATACGCAATTGCCTGCGGACAGTCAATCTGTGGCTCATGGATGGCCATCTCTGTCTCACACGTTTCACGACAATGCCACCAAGTGAGTGGCAGACGAAGATTATGGGCCGTTGGGTCGCATCTTCCAGCTATTTGCTTCATCTTAGTCGCCATAGCTGAGCTCCACCTTTGCCCACCCGACTCACCTCGCGATCTGCCACCAATTGGGCAATCAACGTATGCGCGTGCTGTAGAATGCGGTCTGACGAGGTCTTGCCGAACATTGCCGTCACGTTTGCGTCGTAGCCATAAGTTAGGATTCGAGAATTCTTCAGATTGGACGGCAGAAGATCGAGGTCCTTGAGCCACATCTTCTCGGACCCCCCCGTAGTCCATGTCCTGAAGGGGTCGCCATTGAGCCCGTGGACGGCAACGATGCTATGCGCATTAGCAGGCCTTTGCCTACGCGTGGGGTATCCTTGACATGCTCTACAGCCGGATCATCGCCTCTATACAGCTCAGTCAAACCAGTAATTGGCGTCATATATGTATTTGAACTGCTTAGTAAGTCTTGAATGACGAGTACAGAAGAAGAAGGATGATATAGGGATTAATTGCTGAAGAGCGACACAATTCTAAGAGAATTTTCTCGGCGGCTTACGAGTAAGTGCCGCGTAGAGTAGCCTCTCTGCGACTGCTACGAAAAGACTGCAGAAGAAGGCTGAGTTTCAATAGAAATCTCAAGGAAAACCACAACCGAGCACACCCAGCGCCTTGATCGTCAGCGAAGTGCATGCGTTACGGCATAATAGGAGACTGCTCCTCTTTGGCGATTCCGATATTTCCCCTGACAAGAAGGTGCGGCTGCCACCCATCACATCAGACCACAGTGCAGTACCCCCACGCCTGAAGCAGTTCACAGCTGAACAGGGTCTTCAATCGCCCTCCTCTCGCCCGGCCAGCTCTCCATCCATCCATCTTTAGGCTGTGCGCGCTGGTGTAATAAATAGCAATGTAGAACCAAACGTCCAGCTGTTAGTAGAGGAGAGAAGAATATGGAGTGGGATCGCGCCGGGAGAAGGGCAGCGCTTCTGGGCGTTAAAACCCTGAGGTGGGTGAGTGGAAGGATGAGCGCAGAGTGTCCGTCACCATTCACCCAGAAAACATCCCCTACTCACCCTAAAAGCGGCAGCCTTGCAGGGGTCGAGTGCGACCTCCACAGGTTGTGATTGCCGAGACATGTTTCTCGGACTTAAGGCTAGCCTCGGACTCAGCATCGTATGACATCAATCCGGACCCCCACCTCGATCTCTACATCATCGCTCCAACCTACCTTACACAACAATAACCTCGAACGTCCCTATACATCCATAAACCACCAGACAAGAATATACCACATCCACCTCGTCGAAATGCCCGACTCCAAAGAACAAGCCCAAGCCGCTGAGCAAGAGGCCCAAAACGCAAAAGGTAGCGTACCCTTCCCCCCCACTCTCTCCGCGATACAGCTCACTAACAGACCCACCCTCAGACCCCAGCCACCCGGCCCATCCCCAGCACCCAAAGGTAACTTTGCAATTCAACCCCCCCATCCCGTCCACCCCCACACGCCCCTCCATTGACACTACGCTGACACAAGCCCCAGCACGGTGAATGGCTCAAGAACGTCGGCAAGAAGTTCGGCAACGCCGCCATCTTCGGCGCCGGGGCCACGGCCGGTAGGGATGCCATCCAGGGCGCGATCAACCAAGTGTAGCGTGTTCTCGTTGCGTGGCCAGGGTCGGATGCCATCCAGGGGGCTATCAGTAACGCGTGAAGGCTTTCGTGACGGGAAATCGTCGGGCATGGGGGTGGAGATGGGGGAGCGGGGATGGACGCGAAGCTGATGCTGGGGGTTTTTACACAATGGGGTAGCATAGCATAGCATAGCTATGAAATGAAATATCTTACTTGAAGTTGTGCGTTTCTCTTTGGGTGCAGAGGTTCATGAACGACCCGTGTCTCACGTCAAGATGCATGCATGCTACGAGTACTCCCCAAGGGTGAAAGCTCAGATTCGTTGCTCTCAAACGGAATCCATAGCACTACAGTCGTCCATGTGTCCCGTTAGAAGGCATGAGAGAAAAAAAACCCGCCACGGATCCTTCTTCAATCTCAGTGTCAATGTCAATCCCACCAACCAAGTCCCCAAAACAGCTCTACCGTGACGCTGTTCCCAACGCGAAAGCCAACCTAGGGACGCCACCCAGGAAGATCTCAACGCCCTCGCATCCCATCGGCCCAACCTTGGTGAACCCTTGAGTCAAATCCAAGCAACGACAGAAGCCATCCGTGCCCTTCTCGGCGCTTAATTCTTCCCCGTCCAAACCGGCGATTTACGTCGCGAGACATGTCTCACATGCAGTTTCTTCACCCGAAAGAAGACATGCCGACCCCAAAATCTGCACGTCGGGAGCTATCGTGTGCAAAGATGGACGCCAGCGCGCGACTGTCCGCAACGGTTTTGGAAGGATCATGAACGAAGGCCTGATATCTGAGAACAAAAGCGTTCCGCCATCTGGACGGGCCGTCCTCCTTCTGCGGGAAAAAGTGTCCAGGGCGAGAATCAAATTCCGGCGGAGGTCGTCAGGACTTTTGGCGCCTTTCCCGGTGCCGGGAAAATTCCATCCCAGGCTTTGCAGACACGCGCTTTCGGGAAGGGGGTACCATCGTCAACGCTGGCACGGACTTGATGTTCGGCCACAGACCGCGATCGGATCGAGTGCTCTTCACTTGTTTCGTGCGTCGTTTTACCAGGGAGCCGTGGGTGCAGTGCAGATGTGGGGCATGGCCTTGGGCGAGATGTGTCGCGCGTATGAGGGAGTCCGGGTCCAGTCGATCCCATAGCCTAAACGCGGGGGACATTCTTGGTTCGGAACATCACGCTGTGCATGCGGGGGGGGGGGAGGAAGTTTTTTCGATTTTGGGCAATCTCGCCGTGTGAGAGATACGAACGGTTTGACCGATTCCAGGTCAAGAACAAGACGCGATGGGGCGAGGTTGAAAGATGCACAGCGGTGGGATACAGATCTCCGTACTGTATACTCCCGTAATTATAATCCTTATGACAGAAACTATAGCAGAGCAAAATGAATCACATTTCTCTATCCTTGGAGAGGGGCTTACCAATCCCGGTGGTTCATGTGTTTGCTATGCTCAACACCATCTGCAATCGCTTTCCCTTTTGGGCAGGCATCATGCAGGGCTCCTTAGCATCGAGGGGAAGTAAAATGAGACATGTCTTTTGGACCAAAGGCAGATAAAGCAGCTGCCTGGCCTTGAATTCTGGTTTCAAACTTCGCGTCCCCTTACGAGAACAGCTTTCCCCAACTCCCTGCTCTTCTGATCATACCGCACTTGCCAGTCGGTACCATGGCGGAGCAAGCATACTTCAGTCGTTTCCAGACCTTCGCCCCAGACCCGCAAGCCACGGTCCTCGAAAACTTCGCGCAGCTTGCCATCTCGAATGGCTGGGGGAGGAAGAGCCAGGAGTACAAGGATGAGAGAAAGAGCTACATGATCGCTCTGGCCGATACCCACATCGAAAGCATCGAGAGAGGTGGCGCGGCGGAAAAGCTGGCGGGCTTGCAAGGGCTGTGTAAGGAGCTGAGGGTCTGTCCTATCCCGACATCGATCACTCAGTGCAAGAAGGTCTGTCACGAATGCTCCGACCGGGCGTGTTGGGTTATCACTAACCCAGCTTGCCAGAAATTGAGGACGGTCCATGTCTGTATCGTCGACCTCATCGACAGTCGACGCCTCGGCGGCACTCGAGTCCATATTTTTCCCTGCCATCGTGAGCTCCAACAGCACATTAAGAAGAAAAAGCATTATTTCCCCAAGTACGAAGCGAAAGAGAAGGAAGATGGCCTGTTGAAAGTCCTGCTGCGGAAGATAAAGGGGTAGAAGACCTGAGGGGGAGCGCTGGCATGATGAGAGCAAGTCGATGCTTGATAATTGGCTGTTGAAAAAGGGAAGGGCGAGTCCTGTCAGCAGACTGCTACTTGTGTATTGAAGCAGACGAATGCTATAGCGCAATTCTAATTACAAGCTCGAGTGGTTGTTTGCCTCTTGATTTTGCGTGGAAAGTCTATGACTCTATAGTTGCAACTGCAACTCATCAAGCACATCTGGTACCTTGTGATCCAGCGCAGACACATTCTTCGCCGGTGTAGGAATTTTAATGGATACTCATTTTGAGCCGCGGATGTTTAAATTAAAAATTAAAAAAAAAATTTTGGAAAAAATGGTCCAGGCCCCCCCCCCCCCCCCCTTTTTTTTTTTTTTTATTATTAAAAAATTATTAAAAAAATTTTTTCCCCTTTTTCAAAAACCCCTCTTCCTTTTTTCTTTATTTTTTTTTTTTTATTTTTAAAAAAATAAATATTTTTTCTTTTTTTTTTTTTTTTTTTTTTTTTTTTTTATTTTAAAAACACCACCCCCCCCCCCCCCCCCCCCCCCCCCCCCCCAAAAAAAAAAAAACCCCCCCCCCCCCCCCCCCCCCCACCCCCCCCCCCAACCCCCAAAAAACCCATAAAAATTTAAAAAAAAAAAAAAAAATATTAGTGGTTTTTATTTTGGGGTGGAGAAATTAAAAAAAAAAAAAACAAAAAAAAATTAAAAAAAAAAAAAAAAAAAAAATAAAAAAAAAATTTAAAAAATTAAAAAAAAAAAAAAAAAAAAAAAAAAAAAAAAAAAAAAAAAAAAAAATCAAAATCCTCCACCTTCTCTATGACCTTCTCCCTGACCTAATCGTTCCAGAGCATAAGCATGCTGGTAAGTCGGAGTGGGCTGGTACAAGAGTGGCAAGTACGTTCTCTACAATTTTCTATGAAGGACGCTAACAAAAAGTCGGAGGCGGAGCTGGGTCAGCTTTGCCAAGCATTCTTATTTAATAGTCTCAGTAATTTAGACTCACGGCTAGCCGGGGTATCTATGGCCAGCCCTACACTCGTGCCTCGCTTCGGGGGTTAATTATATCGCAAGCTCATTACGGTATACCCCTCCCTTAGAGTCTAAGTAGAAAACCCCCGAATCGCTATATAGACCGTTAATTTGTATAGGCCTACCGTAATAATCACCCCGTTATCGGAAAATCGCGACTTTCTTTATTTTTCCAGCTATTATTATATAGTCTTTTAATATTAATTAAGAGATTAATAGATCTTTCGAGATTATTAAATAAGTATATAAACTTTTTATTATAATCGGATAGCTCGTTATTATTATATAAGCTTATTCGAATATATATTCTTCGCTAACGATTATAGTATTTATCTTTAATTAATTATTCTTTAATAATTAAATTTTAGATAATAACGTATTATATTTAATATTATTAAAAGATTATATAACGAGTTAGATATAATAATTAGATTATAAATTTAATTATATTACTATTTAATAAAAATCGAGTATTAAAGCTATTTCCTCTATATATATATTTATTAACTCGAAGATATATTACTTAGAAGTTAAAGAGAGTATAAAATATATATTTTAAATAATTTTAACGCGCTTAACGCGTTTAAAATAAACTTTAGCGGATAAAAAGACTATAAGAAACGCTTAGATACGCGATTTTCTCTTCGATAACGATAGCGAGATATTTTTAAATTATATATACTAATCTCTTTATAGCTTATAGAAATATTCTTTCTTCTAACGAATATAAAGTTTTAAGATATTTAATAAACTAGTTTTAAAGTAAAGAAAAAAAGTTATATATTTAATTTCTAGATATAAAAGTAGAGAGAAGAATATTACTAAGCGATATTCGATTAGCTCGTTTATAATAATAATATAGACCTTTCTATATTTAAAGACGTCTTTTTCTACGTTTTATATATCTATAAGAGACTTCGACGTCGTGCGAGATATTCTTATTTATCGATATCGCCGCTATTAATATCTAACTTTATATTAAAAGAATAAATTATCTTCGCTTCTATAAGGGCGTAGTTTACTAACGATTAGCTAGCGGACATAGCTATAAAAGACGTAGTGTCGTTATAAGATTTAATAGTATATTTAATAGTAGAACTAATCTCTAAGAAATACTAAAACTTCGAGATATATAAAGTAAACTTATATTCGTTAAGTTTCTAGATATATAAGATATATTATTAAAACTAGATTCTAAAAGAAATCTTAATATAGAATATATAATATCGGCGTCTTAATATAAGTAGCGCTAAGGCTTATAACGTATTAGATCTAATAATTATTTTCTCTTTTAGATTTTAATCTTTAGACGCTTAAGTAAAGATAGAACGCTTATTAAAAAATCTTTAAATTCTAATAGAGAAATAAGAGAAAAGAGTTAATTTATTACGATATCGTTTTAATAACGTAATAGAATTAACTCTTACGCGCCGTAGGCGCGTTATTAATATATTATATAATAATATTAATACTATCTTTAAGAATAATATTACTTCTATAATATTAATTAATAATAATTTATAATAAGTTAACGCGTTTAATATTAGCGTTTCTATAGCGCTAGTTAATAATCTCTATAGCGAATAATATTAGATTTAAGAACTTATAATAAAATCTCGAAAATCTAATAGATAAAGAAGAAAGAAGGGTTTTTTTATAGATAACGTTATTTTTATAGCGTATTATATCTATAGCGAAATAATATAATAATAATCTTTATTATAGAGATTTAAAGAGAGTAATTAATAGAGCGACGCGTTCGCGATAATATTCTCGATTATTAATTAATAATAGTAGAAATAATAATAGTAGTTAGATAACGCGGTTTAATAGATAATAGCGAAATATTATCGCGTTATTATTATCTATATTATTAAATACTATTCGCTAATAATAGCGCTATAATAAAGAATATAAAAACCTCTTTCGAATTATTTATTTTTATTCTTTATAACTTTTAACGTTTTTCTTATAAATGCTTACTTTAACGCTATAACGTTAATATTAATACTAATATAAGTATAATATATCTTATTATATTAATAGTCTACTTCTCTTTATTATAAATATCTTATTATTATTAATTATATCGATATATAGACTAATAATTTTATAATACTCTTTTTTAATAATAATAATAACTTTAATAGTAAGTATATAGTCGTCTTATAGACGCGATTACTAACTCTTAACTATTTTTATTATTATTACTTCGTATATATAATTACTAATAAGTTCTAATATCTAATTTATTATATAGAACTTACTTTTATTAAGATAATAATTTATATATTTAAGATAAATCTTCTTTCTACGATAATTATAAGATTAAAAGATATAATATTAATCGCTATATTAAAATCTCTCTATACTTTTAAATGTAAATAAGAAAATTAATATAGCGCTATCGCCGCGTTAAATAATTTTAGAAGCTATCTTATCGATAAATTAAGCTTAATAAAAAGATTATTTAATAATATAAGTTATAGAGATATACGATAGCGACGACTTCGATCGTTTTTATTATAATTATAGATTTTTAAAATTAGCTTATAGCGATATATAAGTATATAAAGAAATTAAAGGAAATAAACGAGTTACTAGAGAAGAAGCTCGAGAGCCTTTATCGATATATAATGAACGTCGATAAATATTAATACGAAGACTATACTTTAATTATCTTCTTATTAAAGAATTAGATTAATAAACTTAATTCGATCTTTAACGCTAAGATAGTAAAGGATATTTAAATAGCGATCTTTTTTTAATAATAGCGTTAATATAAAGTTTTTAGATAATTCTTTAATAACTACTCTAGATAAAAATATATCTATATTAATAATATATATTCTAATATAATAAATCTTCTCTATAATAGAGTTTAATAGATAATTAAATAATATAATTATTTTATTAATTTATATTTTAATAGTAGTAAATATAGAGGAGTATATACGTAGTATAAATATTATCTAGAAATATATCTAATCTAGTTAATAATTATATCTTATTTTATCGCCTTCGCTTACTCGCCGTTAATCTATATAATTAATTAAGCTCTTTAATAATAAGAGACTTATTATTTATTATTTAATACTTTCACTTATTATTCGTTTATTTATAGATTTAAATTAACTTATTAATATTAATAAATTTATTATTTAATAGTTATTAATTATACTCTTCGTCTTAATTAGTCTATTTAATTTTATATTAAATATCTTTTTTATACTTAATCTTATTAATAATTTCTTTAATTTTTTAAAGCTTATTATTATTAATAAGATTAAGAGTTTATATAAAGGCTTTCGCTATATTATTATAATCGCGAAGATAATAAGACTTAAATAATAATATATAAAAGATATTATAAATTCTATATATCGGGGGTAAAAGTAGGCGGTACGCCTACGCCTCTATCTTATCTATAATTTAAAATAATTCTATAAATTTATAAGATAACTTCTTATTTAAGCGTTTTTACTTTAAATTCTTAATTATTAATATTATTAAATCGTTTATCTTATAGCTTTAAAGTTAATATATTTTATTATAATATTTAGATTAAGTTATAACTACGCTATAAAGATACTCTACTATCTTATTTCTTAATACTTATAACTTTTTTACCCTATTATTTATCCGATAACCTCCCACATGTAACAAATCCATTTTTCCTACTACCCCTCGTACCATCTCCACCACCACTCCACTCCCACCATATAATCTACTATGAATGGCTTGTATCTAGTCTAGAGACTACATAGCAACTACCCTATCATGAAATCGCTTCACACAGTCCCCTTTGCGACATAAGAAGACTTTACATACACTGCACCCCCCCTTAGTCCTTGGGGAAATACCACTATTACCACTAATCTCTCTACCAAAACCCCTCCCCTTAATGTCTATGCGACATTGAACACACGTACGACTACCCTTCAAGTCCTATCAGTTATGAT